AGTTGTGTTAGCAGAAGCATTATCTAAGGTGATAGTTAAAACTTTATCAATGAGTCCATAAAAATCAAGTATTTGTAGAACAGTAGTTGCAATATATGCTCCAGTGTGTTTTGAATCAACAAATTTATAACCAATAATACGTTTTTGCATGTTCAAGTGATGATCAACCCAATGACATGTAACAGTTACCATTAGGACTATGACCTATATCAGATGTGATAGACACTTTACAATCTAAGTGAAAAATACACAACGAATATACTGAAGATATTCGGTTTGAAATTTAAAAAAATTTATTTCTAACTGTAGTCTTAGAAAAACCTTAAAAAGCAGGATAAACGGGACAGGACGGGACAGGATGGGATGAAACGGGGCGAAATAGGACGGGATAAATGGGACGAAATGGCCATCCCGTCCCATCCCGTGTTCCGTTTAACATGGGCCCATCCCGTTTAAAATTAAATGGGACGGGTCGGGACGTCCCGTCCCGTTGGACAGCCTTAGCTGGATCCTTAACCTAAAAAGGAGGCTTATGAGAAAATAATACCTTCATTAATTCACGTGTACACACTATGTCTTTATATACATTGCTAACTATTATGATAATTATTTTTAGCTACTCCTACTTACACACTAACCTTCTAGTAGCTAACAATGTATAATTCCTCAATGCATACAATCAAGTACCAACTTCTGCCGCAACAATCACTGTAGTATTTCTACGCTCCCCTCAAGTTGAGTGATGGAAAATATTAACTATATCTGTTAATCGGGTCGGGCTAATCCGTTTACAGCCCAGTTCAACCCGATTCAACCCGGTATTGTAGCGTGGGGAGGCGGGCTGGGACGGGTTGGGCGGGGAGCGGATTTCAAACGAACAGTTTTTTGATACCGGTGCACCGGAACCCGCTAAGCCCGTTAACGGGTTATTAAAGGGCTACAACCCGGTTCAGCCCGTTAACCCATTAACGAGTTGTTAACGGGCTACAACCCGGTTCAGCCCGTTTTTTAACGTTTTTTTTTAAAAAAAAAAATTGTTTTTTTTAATGGACCAACTGAAACTCCTGATATTGACACTTGTATTTCTGATCTATACAAACATTTAGAAATATTATATAATTATTATGCTAATATTGCTGATACTTCTTCTGTTGTAGATGCAAATATTCCTTCAAGTTCAGTTTCAATATCTGGGACCGGTGCTTTGGATGCTAATGATGATGTTGAAGATTATTTGATTTGGTCTACACTAGGGGAGCATCAACAAACCAATAGTAGGAATATTGATGAACTTCAATTCTACTTGCAAAAGTCAGCAGAGCCCCGCACAAAGGAATTTCTACCACTGGGTTGGTGGAGGAGCAACTCAAATAAACTTCCTGTTCTTTCGGCCATAGCTCGAGACGTGCTAAATGTGTCGATTTCAATAGTCGCATCAAAGAGCGCATTTAGCCAAGCAAGGCACCAACTAGGAGATACCCGTCATTCATTTGGTAGCAACGCTTTGAAAATTCTAGTGTGCTTCAGAGATTGGATAAGATCATAACGACGAAATCAAGGGCGTGACGCGGTAGATGAAGCGGAGGACCAAGAAATTGGAGATATAATGGTTTATGGTGCTGATTCAACCAATGCCGGAAACCAAGAACCTCATGTTAGACATGGATGAACTTACAAAAATGATGCAAAGCATGTGATGTACTATTTCTTTTTTTTTTTTTATTTTATAATTATTGTAAACTTTTAATTTGCAAGTTCAAAAATAACAAAATCAAAAAAGAACTTGCAACTTAATTTGAAGTATTATATATTATTCAATAAGAATATCAAATGAAAGTCTTCGGAGCTTGATCCTTACATATTGCCTATTGGCCTTATTAAATAATTTTTTGTAGTCACTTACTTTTAAATTTCAATTTTAAAATTATAAAATTCAAATTTCAAATTTAAAACTTTAAACTTCAAACTTCAAACTTCAAACTTCATACTTTAAAGTTTAATTCTAAGCCTTAAAAGTTTTCAAACACTTAAGTATCAATAACATTGAATAAGAAAAATAAAATTTACTTTAAAAAAAAAAAATCACGGCCCGCTAACAGCCCACTAACAGCCCGCTAAGCCCGAACCCGAACTGACAAAAAAAACCCGAAAAATACAGCCCGCAATGTTAAACGAACGGGCTATTTTTTTTATGTCTAGCCCGTCCCAGCCCGCCCGTTAAACACCCATAATATTAGCCATCTCCAATAGAGGCGAATTCTGTACCACTGACTTTAACGTAAAGTTAATGCTTGACATAATATCAACTGATGTGAAAAAAGTTAGTGTTTATGACTTAAATTATTACTAATTTTGAACATTATCCGAAGAGATAAACTATAATTTTTTAATCTAAATTTATATTTTATTTCATTAATTATCAATTATAAGATCTGTACAACTATAGAATAATATTGCCTTAAATTATTCAGCTCTTGCCGTCAAAGATCAAAACAAAGAGGAAAAGTAAATTGCTAATAGTCAGTTCTTGCCGTCAACATTCAAAACAAAGAGGGGAAAAAGAATGTTAATGATTATTTAATGCCATAAAAACTGAAACTTTCGCAGATTTTTGTGCAAAAGGAAGCACGAAAATATCAAAAATTCTTACAACATATGATTAATTTTTATATGTGAACCGCTTACCCAAAAAAAATATTTTGTAATAAAAAAGTTGGAGAGCAAAGTTCAATAATATGATTGGAACGAAAATCTGATTGGAAAATGCATAAGTACCTCTGAGCTATAGTCGGATTTTCAATTATACACTTAAATTTTGCGGGGTCCTATTATTCCCCTGAATTATTTTAAAATAGAATAAACATCCCCTTGAGAGATGACGTGGCACATAAAGTGTGTTTATTTTTTTGGAGGCGTGTGAGAGCATTAAACTGCCTTCAAATTTTATTAAATGTCTACGTATATCTTTTTACCATTGGATATTTTACAATTAGTTATATTTTATTAATAATACAATCTCTAAATATTTATTTATTTCCGGCCACTATAAGGGAACAAAAACTTCGGCGAACTCCTCGCCGGAAAAAATGGAGTCCAGCTCATCATTTTCGTCTTCCTTCACTTTTATTTTTATCCGTACATTCCAATTTTGCAGCAACAATAAAGACCCAATAAAAACTATCAACTATTGATTTAAAATATGAAAATAATGATGGTTTGACAACTCTAAAGCTTGAGAGTATCAAACCCACTAAGATAACGATTCAAGATTTTTATTTTTGTACTATCCTCTAATAAGTTCTCAAGGATTAATAGATCTATCTTTCTTTTATGTTGTACTCTAATTGACCGGGCATTAATTAGTTGAAATTATGTCTGTTTTAATGTAATTAAGTTTTATGGTTATGGGGGGGAGTGCGATAATATGTGAAAATAAAAATGGTGGAAGTCAAAATTTTCTTTTGGAGGTGGTAAAAATATTGTGTGTGGTGAAGCAGCTATGATAATGGTGATTTTGGGGTTGTTGATAATGGAGGCGAGAGAAGGATAGAGAAAGAAAGGAGAAGATTGATAAAACTGAAAAAAAAAAATTAATTTTAGTTGTAAAAAAATTGAGGCGCGTGTACTCCACCACACAGCATAGGTATGGTTGTGACATTTTAAAGGTAAATTTATTCCGTTTTAAAATAATTTAGGGGGTAATAGAATCCCTGTAAAATTTAAGTGTGTAGTTAGAAATCCGGCTATAGTCCAGGGGTACTTATGCATTTTTCCAAAATCTGATTAAGCAATATTTGATTTTGATAAAAATATCTGAGAAAGTCTCATCATGTTAGTCACGTAAATTATTTATAGTGAAACAAATTTATAGTGCCAAAACAAAGAAAAATCATAAATTGGTTAATCGATTTGTTATCATGAAATTTGAGAATTAATCGAATTGAATGCAAAAGGATAGAAAGAAAAGGAAAAATAGAAAGAAAGGGCAAAAGAGTAAAATTAAAAAGTAGATCAGACAAGAAAAGAAGAGCTAAAATCAAAATATAATACGTACCCACGAGGACTTTACCCAATCCCCAAGCAGTGATTTTGATCGTGGGGCCAACCGCACCTAGCAATTTTGTTGAAAATTATACAAATATTTTTAGTTATTATAAGAAAGAGGATGGTTTCATGTGCCTCAATCTTCTAAGGTGGATCCATCAGTGATCCCCTAGTGGACATTTAATATGTGTTTGGTATGAAAAAAAAGTTTTCCTTGAAAAATATTTTTTTGAAAAATAAGTAATTTTTTGACTTATTTTCTAATAATTGGTTAGGTAGCAGAAAATATTTTTGAAAAATATATAATTTAAGCAAAAGTATATGAGACGAAATGGGTAAATGCGAGGGAGGGTGGTAGGTCGAGGGCTTGGGGCCAGAGCAGCGATGACGATGTTGGAGGGTGGGGTTGGCAAGAAGGAAGTGGGCATGAGAGTGTGTGTTTTGGGGG